TTTTAAGCACACATTTGATACTATTATTTGTTTGAAATATGATTCGTTGACAGCTATTCATATGCCAGTATCACATATGGTTGGGCGCGGATACTCACGGCATACTAGTGCTGGTGCCGAGCTATCCGGTGCTGAACGTCGTGATCACGTCATTCATATTCATTTGCATCGCTCACGAGATTCACGAATTGACACATAAGATGGTGAAATACGCCATACCCTCTGACTGGCGCTACACCACCAGAAATATTATCATATTTTTGCTCTTTTTAATACCCATTGGTATCAAAGACGGAATGTTTTAGTCTGTGATATAAATATATACGTAAATATAAATATATTTTGTCTGTATATATATATCTGTCGTCGAAAAACTATATATGAAATTATGTTTTAATTATAAAAAGTTTAATAAATAAGTTTATAATTTATTAGCGAAACACATATTTTACACACGAAAACAAAAGTGTTTAAACGAATTCTGTTATAATTTCAGTGCCAAACAAAGTGCTGAATATAATGATCATTATTGGCATTAAAATAATGCAGTATTTGTTGAACGGAATGTCAGGTAAAAACCATTGCAAATAAGTCTCGATGTCTGCGTGACATCAAAGCCTACGTTAATGTGCCGTAACTCTCATTTTGATGTAATTAAATACTTTTAAATACTCTTATTTTTTCGATCAAATAAAACAAAATATTGTAAAATTTATTGCAAATATTGTGAGATCTAATACAGTATGTGTTTTCAATTGGAAAGTGATTTAGTGGACAAATATCTATTAATTTTTGCATATATTTTTGATTTAACATTACTGTTAAGGTTACCTGAGTTACAGTTATAGCAATTATCTAATTATTGTACGTTTAAGCCTATCAATAGTTGTTAACACTTTTCTACATCTCTACCATTGAATTAATGTTGAGAAAGAAATGCAATCATAAATATTTCATATATTTTGCGGACATTTTGTCACAATTATTGGGTGAGAGAATCGGTTCCAGACATCAGACAATGAATATGAATACACGAAAAAAGGCGAACCGAAACTTTTTCATCACACGCTCGCAGAGCCGGTACGAGAAGGATAAGAGACAACTGTCTAACCATAAGTGGTATCACATCGGAAGGTTCTTCTCGCTCATCGGCAGTGCAATCATTGTGTTCGGACTGATGTGTAAATTCATATTCAACGACGACAAGGAGAGGGACACTCCTATCATAACCATATCGATCGCCAGCATCGGCGTAATCATACTGTTAGTGGGTATCGTTTTCTTAGCGATTGTCGTATATCAGGCTCAGGTGGCCATCAATAAGCATAGGACTGAAGAGGAGACCACCGGCCAAACGCCCCGCTCGTCCATCGGTGACTCCAAGAGGTCATCGGCTGTTAACAAGACGGCTGAGACTACACCACAACAAGAGTCGCTTCCAAACGGTTTGGTCAATAGTATTGCTATAATTCACGCAAACGATTAGATTATCTAATCATTGAGTGATTACTGAGACTCAGTTTATTGTGATATTTGTCTTCACAGTAATAATTGTGATATTAACTTATTTTTATAGAAAAAAATATCTAGTTTTTTAAACGCAAACCATTGTTTTGTTATGCAATTGAAGTGATTATAAACTAATTAACAAAAAGTCATTTACAGCTCACGGAAAAAGTTATTTATGACAATTTAAAGTATTTTTAATATAATACACAATGAATTGAAAGTTATATATAAGGCGTTCTGTTGTTACCAAAAATATTTGGCTGTTTCTGTAAATATTTGTAAATTAATTCACACTTTATGTAAACTTTTATTTATTTATTAGTTTTTCATTATTAAAAGCTATAATTCATTTGTTTTTACATCAATTCCTATGGATTATTACAATATCTAATGTTTATTATTAATAGAAAAGCGCAGACTTTAGATATAAATCATTAAAAATATAACAAAAACTTTTGCCAAAAATAAAATTCAAATCCCAGTATAAATTGTTTGCTTTGATAGTGTATTGTATGCAATAATCAAGTGCCGAAACCATTGCTACAAATGTGAAATATCAGTCAAAACGCTTGCATTCAAACGCAAGAATTCAAACCAAAAATCATGGAAAAGTGTTTCAATACAAGGAATTCAATAAATTTCTTAATTTACGGTTTCATGTGTTCAGTGATTGCCATAGTTTTGATCGCACTATCGATTGTATTGAAGTTGAAATTTATTGCCAAAAATGAAATTAATTCTCTGGCAGTCGTCAGCTTTTTAATGCTACTCATCGGTGGTGTGCTGTTGGGTACCGGAGCTATACTTATCATCAGCTATTA